TGTTGCGTAGCTTGGCTTGAAGGAGAAATGCTGTGTTGAGACTGACCCTTCTTCATGTTTCTGAGAATGTTTGTAGGGTTATGGTGGGCTAGTGATGTGGAAAGAAGCTAAAAGGGCGGGAGTAGTGTTTTATTCAGCATGGGTAAAATTGGGAGCCTCTTCAATACGCAGTTCTGGGATGCTTTTCTGTGTTTGCGTATGTAGTCAGGAATTTTTTGGTATGTATACAAAGTATACCGAGAGAGTTCTTGAAAATGCGAAGTTCAGCAGCATAGGCTGTCAACCCTATGAATAAGGCAGGCTTTGATTTTGACACAGTATCATGTAGCTAAAAAAAAAAAATCCACCCCAAACAAACTGAACTTTTGCTTTCTCTTCACACTTAAGTGAAATCTCCCCTCTGTTCTCTTTCCTTATGTGGTGATTACAAAAGTGTCAAAGTGTTTAACTTGTTATATTCCAAGACCATTTACTGAAAAGCGGTTATCTGTGATTCTAACTTCTAAAGCTTAGCATACTGTTTTGGAAGACTGCTGTCATGCTGTGTCCAAGGAATGACTCTCTTCTGTAACCATTAAAATGCTTTATTTCTGAACTGACGCTGGTTCCTTCATGGTGTGTTGCTGATTATGCACATTACGCTGTGTACAAAGCATGGACCTGTTCAAAATCGTTTGAAACGTAGTCATCTGTGTGTTGGAACAGAAGTTTATGATGTGATGGCTTCGGTGAGGAGCTGGCATGGTGACAGAGCTCAGAGAGCCTAATTTATGAATTAAGTAAACCAACACTTGCTGCTTTTGTTAGTGCTAATCTATGTAAACAGCTGTGATAAGACATGTTGCGTAGCTTGGCTTGAAGGAGAAATGCTGTGTTGAGACTGACCCTTCTTCATGTTTCTGAGAATGTTTGTAGGGTTATGGTGGGCTAGTGATGTGGAAAGAAGCTAAAAGGGCGGGAGTAGTGTTTTATTCAGCATGGGTAAAATTGGGAGCCTCTTCAATACGCAGTTCTGGGATGCTTTTCTGTGTTTGCGTATGTAGTCAGGAATTTTTTGGTATGTATACAAAGTATACCGAGAGAGTTCTTGAAAATGCGAAGTTCAGCAGCATAGGCTGTCAACCCTATGAATAAGGCAGGCTTTGATTTTGACACAGTATCATGTAGCTAAAAAAAAAAAATCCACCCCAAACAAACTGAACTTTTGCTTTCTCTTCACACTTAAGTGAAATCTCCCCTCTGTTCTCTTTCCTTATGTGGTGATTACAAAAGTGTCAAAGTGTTTAACTTGTTATATTCCAAGACCATTTACTGAAAAGCGGTTATCTGTGATTCTAACTTCTAAAGCTTAGCATACTGTTTTGGAAGACTGCTGTCATGCTGTGTCCAAGGAATGACTCTCTTCTGTAACCATTAAAATGCTTTATTTCTGAACTGACGCTGGTTCCTTCATGGTGTGTTGCTGATTATGCACATTACGCTGTGTACAAAGCATGGACCTGTTCAAAATCGTTTGAAACGTAGTCATCTGTGTGTTGGAACAGAAGTTTATGATGTGATGGCTTCGGTGAGGAGCTGGCATGGTGACAGAGCTCAGCCTGGCTCCTTAATGAGTTCTCACATGGAAAACTGTGTGCCCATGTGTGGACCCACAGAGATGATGACAACCAGTTGTATGAAAATGAAAGTTACCTGGTCTTGCTATTGAGTGAATGAGTATCTCTGCAAAGGCTGAAACTCTGCTACCTGCAGAAAAATACTCGAGAAGAAGAATCCCATGAACCTGCTGTGAGGCACGAGAGCGTCCACATGCATCTGTCACGGCAATGTTACAGCTCAGAGTAGGTCAAAATACTGCATCTTCCTTTGAGATAGCTAGAAAAAGCCCTCAAAAATTAACTGGATCCAGGGGACCTTTGTTTTCAGGAGTCTAATGAATTTTCATTTTTTACTACTTCTGTAACATAAAAGCATGAAACTTGCCAAGCGGAGGTTTCTGGTGAAAAGTAAAATGCCCAGTTTCATTCTTGGCACGGTGGGGAATTTGGGAATAACTTAGTCTTGTATTACGTAAAATATAGAAATAATGTCATACATTGGTAGACTTCAAAGAAAAATTAGGCTTTTTACTTGAGCTGTGTCACCAAGGAACTCGAGTTCACCTCCTGAAATGAGGGGAATTCTGCCATCCCTTTCGTACTTAAGGGTGTGCGCTACTACATCCTGTGATATAGCAATTTAGGTGGTTTTAGGCTTCTTTACCAAAAATTAGTGAAATGCTGCACTGGAAAATTACTATTTTTCTGCAATGCAAATCTGGAGTAATAAGGTTTTACAGTATCTTCAGTAGGCTGTGAATGTGGCGTAGAAAGCATGCAACATTTATGAAGGCATTGTCCGAGAATGGAAAGAACATAAATCCATGCAGCTAATGACTTTTACACTTAAATTTGAGGGTAAGTTCAAATATTTGAGTCCATTGTGTGTATGAATAAATGATATTCATAGTATGGCAGCTAATCTGTTTATTTACATGCTGCTATTCCACTGCCTGTAGTAATTCAGCCAGCCTGTTCTGTGTTTCTAACTCTCTCCTATAAAGCAGCAAAAATAATCTTCCCGTTTAATTTTCAGGTGCAAATTGAAGTAGGATGACTAAATCCATATACTTGTAGTTTGCCTTCAGAACTTGTACGTTCATTCATTCATTGGTACGTGTGACTTGGGGCACTATCTAGTGGTGTTCTGCTTATATGAGCTGTTGCATCTCCAAAGTACTTGTTTTAAGCAGCTTTAATTATTAGGGAAGAATGCCACCTGGAGGTAATAGAAGTGAATAGGTGGCTGAATGGTACAAGAAGTCAGCTTAAGTTGCTTTTGGAGTTCTGACAGAGGTGCTGAGAAAGCTGGATGCCATGCAGAGGTAAAGAGGGGATGTAGAAAATATGTGGAGGGAACCAGCGGTGTTGCATGGAAGAGCAATAGGAAACTTGGCTGCTGGGAGGGGAAGGGGGAAGAGAGGAGTGGAGTTGGAGAGAGCTTTCCAAGTGAAAACTGAGGGCCTTCACTGTGATGAAAAATAAGGACGATGTTCAGGTGATGACCAAGGGAATGAACTCGACTGCTGCTTTTTTGAACCAGGAGCACCAAAATCTGGCATTTAAAAAGACAGTTGCTGCCATTCAGGCAAACCTAGTGAAAGCATGCAAGCTTGGTAGAAGGACTGAAAAGGAAGGGGCAAGTGTAGAGGCACTGTGGGAAGGAGAGGGATGGGATCTCACAGTTTGATACCAGATGAAAAGGAAGAAACTGAGCAGAGCAGTACGAGGGGGAGCCCTGGGAGACAACAGGCAATACCTGTTCACCAAAAAAACCCAAACCCCATGATGTTTAAAAGTCTGCATACATCTCGAAGCTCCATTTAATTTGTTGTTCCATTTGTCAGTCACAAATTCTGGAGTATTATAGTTGGTGGTTACTAAAAGAGATGAAACCTTGAATTATTCTGTGGGTGAATGAAGACTGCTTTTAATGACTCCTATATAATCAGACAAGCTGCAAGTATGGCAGAAGGAATGCCCAGAATCTCCTATATAAGCTTCCCAAAGAGGCTCCATTTTGTGCTTTGGTTATAATGCTTACCTGAAGGGAGATTTCTTTGGTTCCTCTTACTGTTATATAGGAGATGGCTGTGATGTTATAGCAAGGTCTTGTTCCTTGTCTGGTTTCAAGCATCAATCCCCATCTACTTCTCAAAAATGATAGAAATCATACTAAATATATCATTCCCTTTGAATTGTGTAATTTATTCTAAAAAACTTTCTAGAAGAACTGGTTATGCTGATATAGCTGTGGAGTTTTCAAACTTGTCACCTCATCTTAACTTTTGAACTAAACTCTTCTATGCATCGAAACAAGAAAAATAACCTTAGCTTTAATTTAAAGTTTAAATTACTTGTGATGGAAACTCAACTTTAATGTTTCTATCTTAAACTACATTATTTAAATCTTGTTTAAACTTTCTGTGTAATGGAATAAGCTCTTAACTAGCAATAAATAACTAAAAGTCATACATTGCAGATTCACAGGATTCTGAAATAGCTTATAGCAAAAGCAGTCATAATTGTTGTCTAACTTGTGGACAAAATGGCCACTTCCTTACTAATGTGATTGGTTTAATTTTAATTGACTATTACTGTCTTGTTAGAAAAATGTCTACCAAATTGCTTTAAATAAATGCATAAAAAGTTCATCCGTGCAGTGGATTGAGAAATTCTACAGGATGCTGGGCTTCCACAGTACAGTTATTAAGGCAGGTAATATTCTCCTGATACTCAGCATGAGCAAAAAACTTGCTCTCTGTAGGAGCTGGTTACAACTTCAAATTTGGAAGTTTGGAGAGAATTGGTCTCTGTCACACAGCCTGGATTGATGCTAATGAGTAAGAAATCCTCTGAAGTCCACTTAATTTAAAAGCTGTTTCTAAAAGTAAGTTTAAAAGCTGCCATGTTTCTGAAATCATGCACTTGGACTGGAAGGCCTTAGACTATTGCTACAGTGAAACAAGTGGGAGTAGCCACATAGGGTCAGTGAAAAATTTAGAGTGAAAGGTGAGGGGAAAAAACATAAAATGGTGTCTTTTTTTCAATTTCAAAATAACAAAGTTTTAACTTTCTAATTAGAAAAAGGGTATTGAGCTAGTTCCCTGGTTCCTCAGTCACATTTTCATAACAAAACTCTCCTAAATAAAAGGAAACTTCTCTACTTGGTTTTCCCAAAGACTTTCAAAAATTCCACTCAAAGTACTCGAAGTTTTGTATCTCACTTTTAAGAGTGATAATTGAGATAGGGAGTATCTTGTAAAAAACAAAAGTAAAATCAGAAAGACTGTTGGTGGTGCCCCAAAATGTAGGTAGTTCCTGGGAAAAGCACAACAGACATGTACTAAGAAGGTTGCAGATAAATCACTGTAACTGTAAAATGTATCCACAACAATGGATTTAAAGACCATTATAGGGAGGGAAAATGATCTTATTTTTATCTCCATTGAGGACCTGATACTTGACTTAAGGGCCACTGTAATTCAGGTCCATTCCTATCTTTACAGCTCCTGTAGTTTCTTCTGGTCCATGCAGTATCTGGACCTGGAGAGTCCTGTTCCTCTAGCAAAGAAGTCCAGTTTTGAGGTTCAGAGATGCAGTTGACATCATGCGCAGTCAAAAGGTAATCATAGTTATGCCCTGCACTTAGTTCAAACAGAACAAACTCAGTAGGGGCATGTTCCTGAAATCTGTTTTTTTCCCGTAACTCAAAAATTTGCACCCAAGGATTTTTATAGCATACCAGAAGAGGGCATCCCAGATTATTTGCTGTATTTAATCTGTAGACCTTCCTGTTGTATATGTTTTCTGGCAAGAAGGTGAGTTGTGTATGTCATGGCTGATTGTATAACTGAAAATATTTTTCAGTGCTGCTTCCTGAATGAGACCTTTGCCACATGCTGTGACTTTTTTTTTTTTTTACATTTCTGATGTGCATTGTAGGTGGGCAAGCCGCTGCAACAAGTGTAGTCATGGAAGCCACATCAATACAACTGACAACTGATTGGATTGTCAGGGATGTCCACAGTGACAGTAGACATCCCTCCATTGCACGCACCATCTCAGAAGTCAGCATCTGCAATTCAGAGAAATACTGCTGCTCCAGAACTATATGCAAGAGGTATTCACTCTTTCCATCATATGTAAATCCCACTTCTAGTATATATGCACTGAAAGCCAGCACATGGGAGTTGCTCACTGTGACCAAGGGAGTGGACCTTTTGTCTGGCTTGGGCACGAATATGGCCTTCAAAGTCAGACTTTTGTGCATGTTGACAGAATAGATCTTGTTCCGGAAGTCTGCTGTGAGGATCTCCACAGCGTAGGACTGCTGACATCTCCAGACTGCTAACTGCAAGTTGAGCTTGCCTTTATTAAAGCTGAGTGAAATTGCTAATCGTAGGGCTGAGTAAGGTCAGCCACCCTCTTACTTCGAACAGCATCCCTATTTTTTTTCGAATCTGTGCTCTCATCCTTGGCAATGTGCACTGTGCTAGTGACCCGGCCGATGCTGCCATAGAAGAGATGTCTGTCCTGGGTCAAGAATGCGATCTGGGAGCTTTTAGCAGTCACGAGAAAGAAACTGCTGCCAGGGAAGGCAGTGCTTTGAAAGGTCTCCAAGGGCATGACAGTTACTTCTTCCATGATCAACGCTGTTGTTGGCCAATATAAGCACAGTATCTGTTGTGCAGAGGATGATGAAACCCCTCAAGGCAAGACTTTGGCTACTCCAAAGCTTAGCATCAAGGGCAAAGCTTGGGCAGCAGGTCGAAGGTGGTAGAACTATGGTTGGACATATGGCTGTTTTAGGTACCATTGTACCTGAAATAGGCCCCTGCTATCTTCCCTGCCCAATCCTCTCCTCTTCTGTCAATCAGCAGGCCAGTGATGGCAAAGGAGACAAAACTGGAGAGCCTGAGCAGCAATCCTCAGTCTCTTGTACTGGTCTTAGCTTGTGCAAATGTGTAACCCCCATCCTGCATAAGGAAGATATGGCTGTTGGAGACTGAGCGCCTGGTGTTGTAAGCAAAAAGGGTCCAGCTGAGCTCCTCGGTCTGGGGGTCTGCTCCTGTGTAGCAGCAATGGGTGTTTGAGAGTTTGGATACAGGGGATGTGACTCCTGCTGATGGGACCCACCTGTCGAGGATCTTGAAGTACAGGTAGACCTGGCCATTGACCACCATCGACAGCCCCATCTTTGTCCATGAAGGCAATCACACTGACAATGGCTTCCTTGGTCTCAAGCTCTTCTGGGATGGAGAGCGGGGAGAGGCGGCTCTCAAAAGCATCCAGGCTGATGAAAACTATCTTCCCCAGGCACCCAGCTGCCTTTGGCTGCTCTCTGCCTAGGCCATGCCCCTCACACGGGTGCTGCAGGACCACAGAGCTGCTGCTGCCATAGCTCATGTAGGTGCCTCTTGCTGGCTTTGTGTTGTGGCCTAGATGTATTGAGTGTTCCAGCTGCTCATGGCTGCAGCCTGAGCTGTCCCAGCGGCCCTACACACAGAGCCATGGATACAGCTTGGCCACCAGCGCCCACCAGGGCTGCAGCACCATGTCCCTGGTGGCTGAGGGCTGGCGGTGTCAGCTGGGGCAGGGCTGAGGTTTCCCCTGGTGAGGCTTACGTGGTGGTTAGCCCGCTCCCTACTGTCTGAGAGGCTTTTCTGCCAAGGGTTGTGGAGGAAGCAATGGCAACTGCCCTGGGTGCTGCTGAGGGGCTGGCCACAGCGCCTGGCTGGCCTGGGGTGGGGACCTGCTGAGGGGAGGAATTTTAAAATGTAGAGGAGCTGCCTTCAAAGGGGTCTTCTTCAGCAGACAGGTTTCCTCATGCACCTTCTCCATTGCCTGAGCACAGGGAAGGTATTTCTGTTAAGCAGCTGTACTATACAGCTTCATTTCTGGGTGGTGGTCAGCAGATTTTCTTAATGTGAAATTAAATCTGCATGAACATGTGATCCAAGCTTAGGTTTGAGTGCAACCTTTGCTATCCCCTTGCAGGACAGTGGCTAACCATGGGTGCTGGGGGGCTGTGTCCTGTGTCTCACGAGGTGGCCCGGGGTGCATCCCTTGCATTTGCTGATGCCCAGAGGGCAGCAGCAGGGTCCATCACCAGGCTGTGCCTTTTGATCGCTTCTAGTGTTCAGAGAGCGCAAGGGAACTGATACAAGTTAGAGACCTGCATGTCCAGATGGTGATTTTTATCCTAATTATTGAGGGGCGAGGGGAACAGCCCACAACCACATTTTCTTTACTGGATCTTACGGTGTTACCAGCTCTCCTTCAACCATCTGAAGCTTAAGCCTTGTCCAAATTAGCCACTAGCTATTGCCATTAATTGCACAGAAGATACTGGCAGTCCTTGGCAGGGCGGGGTGTTTCTCCCTCCAGCAGCACCAGGGCAGTGCCGCAACAGGCCCAGGGGAAAGGGGTGGCATTGCCCAACCCTGTGCGTGGAAGTGGGAGGTGGGAGATGCGGCAGGAGCGTTGCATACCTCCTCAGTCATGCTATTTTTTTTCTCTGATACTGAGAAGTATATTTAGTGCTTCTGTCATGTTACTACTCCTCATGTCTTCTCTTATGGCAGTGCGAAGGTGGAAGATTGCTTGATTCTGCTGTTGCCTACTGTGTTCACTGTGCATTTTATCAGTGGCTTTGTGAGATTTATCTATGTTGTCTTTAGTATTGAATTCCTGTCTCAGGTGCCATGGGAAATACATAGAAATTGCATTGCTGAATATAGATGACTGCTCTACTTTTGTATCCAAATTAAATGAGTTGAGCACTGCTGCCATCTAGTGCTTTCTGCTTCTAAATATCTGTTCTGTCTCAGTAGATGGACATCACTTTTTTTTTTTCTTTCTTCTCAGAGCTGGATACTGGAGATGCCAGGAGGTCCAAAGTGGCTACAGGAGAGACTGTGGGATCTAGGAGTCTCTCAGTCAACCTCTGTGTGTGAGACAACTGGAGGAGTTGGCTACTAAAGGGACCAGGAGGTCCAGGCCTACCACTGTGGAGACCGTGGGGTCTGGAGGTCGGCCAAGAGACCCATCTGTCTGTCTCTATGCAAAGCAGCTGGAGGGGAGAGGATCTAAGGGTCAGCTGCTGAGTAGACTGAGTGTCTCACGTGTGTATGTCTGTATGTGTGTCGGCAAGAGGGCTCCTTTGTACCAGCAGCTGGAGTAGGGCTGCAGGCATTGGGTGCTCACCTGCCTAAATGCCTGCAGCTGGGGTAGACCAAGGATTCAAGGGCCAGCTACCGGGTAAACCAAGCATTTAAAGGTACTCGCTGGGGTATCCATGGAGTCTCTCTGCGTATGTGTGGGGATAGTTGGGAGCGAGGGGGTCTACATCAGCAAGTGGAGTGGGGCTGCAGCCCTCGGGGCTTGTACTGTTCATGTGTCAGCAGCTGTGGAGACCTGGCATCCAGGGGCCAGCTACCAGACAGGCTGAGGGTGCGAGGCCAGCTGCTGGAGAGGCCCACACTGTATGCATTTCCCACTAGTGGACCTTCATCCTGATCAGCCGTTTGTGTTTGTGTGACTGCTGCGTCTTCTTTCTGTTTTGATCTGCGGGGCTGGCCATGTGCGTGTGCCTACTGGGGAAACCTGCTTGACCTTGCTGCTGGCTGAAGCAGAGAACATGGAGCTGCAGTAGCCTTGCCTCTACTGGGACAGATCCAGCAACTCCTAGCAGCATTTCAGTATCATTTGGAGCTTCAGGTGAAATAAAGGGAGGGTGTGGGGCTGCGGTGGGGGGAATGTAGGGAGAGCTGGGTTCTATAATTAGAAACTTATCAATGCAAGTGTTGAAGATCTATTTCTCTCCTGCTGAGTCCTTACACAGAAAGCCAAATAGTATTATTATCCTTCATGTTGTAGATGATAAATATTATTGACTCTAAGGATTCAAGACTTGAAGCCGACAAAGGAAATGAGCACTGATTCCCTTTCAGTTTTGGCTATGACTGGGTTTTCCTCAGATACAAATTCTCTAGTGAGAGACATTGGCTTTTCCATAATGAGGATTATGTGTTCCTTGGTTAATACACTTCTAAAAACTGTAATCATAGCTTTGTTTACTGAGTAGCTTGGGAGTCCTCCTGGAATTACTGGTCTTCCTTCAGGACAAAACACACCAGAAGATTCTCTAAACTATGTCTATGAGCAAAATTTCTTGTTTGGGAAAAGTTCTTCATATTAGGAAGCGATACTGTTTCTTGAAACATATATTCAGCTGCACTTTGATTTCAGTTTTGAAATAAGGATTCACTAGATTCAGCAGTAGAGTACAGAGGTTCAAAGTAACCATTCTTTGCCAGTTACTTGGTGTGTTGCTCTGGAACGAACAAACAAGGTGATAAGATAAAAATAGGTGAGTTTTCACTTTTAGTGTTTAGATTAATTGAGAGTTCCTGTTCAGTAGAAATTATGCTCGATACCTGTGGCCTGTGTGGGTCCCACTGCAACAGGCTGTATTTTGAGCTGTTCTCAAGTAGATGCTCTTTCCATGTGCAACTCAGAGCCATATATATATGTAGCATGTTTGGTAAGATAAAAAGGTAAGTAAAATCAATTGGTTCAGGTTGTGTGAAACACTCTGTCAAAGTGCTAGTGAGTGGAAAATACCTATGCCTTGGGGAGGAGGGTGGTATATAAATAGTATGATGGAAATGAAGAAAAAAAAGATAATTTTGACTTCCATTATTTAAATCTGAGGTCACAATAGCTACATAGTGTGAGGAAGCTCAGTAATATACCAAAGCTTTCTCAATGATCTAAAGTAAGTTTTCCCTCTGCTGACTAAACCACAAACCCAACGGTTCTATTATTCTTCAGCTGTAAAATGCAAGTGCGGCTGCCTTACTGAAAACAGTCACCCTGCCACTGAGGGAGCTTGGAGGAAGATGGAATCACATGTGGTACCATCACGGCTGCGCTCAGATTAATGGGGGCAGAATTTCTCTTCACCTTTGTTCCCAACGGTAGTCACAAAATATAAAGCCAGGCTTCCAACTTTACTCAAAAGATTTAATTTTAAGGCTCACCTTCTAATCCAGCTTCTACTGTGATATAGAGCTGTCTACAATAAAGTGTCACCTAGCCCAGGTATCCATGGTCAGGCCTCTGAACTGCAATGGATACAGTAGATATTCCTGGATGTTTTCCACTTATTCTACTCTTACTCCAGTGAGATAGAGGATTATTTCTGAGTATATTAAACCACAGAGATGTCTGCAGTAATGGAAATCCACCGAGGGAACTTCAGCCTTTCTTCATATGCACATTGCCATTATTTCACTCACTTGAAATCTTAATGTTTGCTGTCTTTTCAAAATTACCCTTGAATAATTTCATGGGCAAAATTACTTCTATAGAGTAAAAACTAGACTGGAACAGAAGATAATCATTTTCTCAACACTTCTGTTTTTAAAACCATGAATGCTGATTAAACATATTCCAGGACTGAGTGATTTCCTGATCCCATTTAAATCAAGATTTATTTACTATGTATTTCTATCAGTTTACAGGAGTAAATCATTAATTTGTAAAATGTCACTCGGCTAATGAGTTCTACTAATTGCTTTAGTGGGAGCTGAAAAAGTGAAAAATTAACATGGTTTAAAAAATGTTGCTTATAGACAGTGTATAAATGAATTCAGCTGATGCTTGCAAATGTTATTCCATTGGGTTTTCCTCTTTTTAAGATGTGGTGTTCTCTTCCTGAAAATTGTGGCATAGTTCCTTACCCTGTTTCCTCCAGGATGATGAAAATTCTGCTCAAAGAGAGGACTGTAACAGTAGATTTTTACTTCTGAAAGAAATAACTTAGTCTTCACTTCTGACCAAGAAAACAAACACTTCTTGCAACTCACAGGCAAAATATTTCTTTCTTCCTATCCTTGTGAAGAAACCATCAGGTGATGCACCCAGCTTTCCTTTCCCCCCTCTCCCCGCAGGTGCTACGGTGGGGGCCATGCCAGAGGGAGAGACAAGAACGCCCTTGGGACACGGGCTCCGCTGCCTGTAGTTAAAAAAAATCCCTCTCTATTGCAACGCCTTGGGCAACTGCAGGGAGCTGCTGGAGAAGGGCGAGGGCAGTGGCAGCTCAGGCCACTTCCAGCCCTGCTTGGGAGGATCAGCGAGAGGCCCGTGAGGGACGACTACCCCAGAAAGTTTGCCTGCTCTGACAGGACCGATTGAACGCATCAGCCAAGTTCAGGGGACAGGGCTCAGGAATCACAGCTAATGCCATTTTTTCATCTTAACATCTGTCCTTAAGGATCACAGTTTTTATTCTCCAGACCACAGAGGGGAGATGTCACTGCCTTAGAGGTTCATGTTCTGTTTCTGGCTGCTTTTCAGATCCACTCTCTTCATCTGTAGGTCAAATGAGCCCTAAGCATTCT